ACGTTCTTCAACCACTATGCTCGAGGTCACGAGTTTTAACTGGTCGAAGCCATTGAACGGTACTACCTTCCTGTGACACTAATCTATGTCAACGCTCCTTTTTCTTAATGGCCGTTCGTCGTGCACGAGACACCCGTACACGCGGTGTGGCTTGTATAAGCCACACAAGTGCTAAATACAGTGGCCGCCATAAACCACACGTTTCGAAATTAATATACAACCTGTATAGAGGGTGTTCCATCTAAGACTGAACACCCCAAATAATTTTAGTTTCGAAATTAGTAGACAACCTGTATAGACGGTGTCCAATCTAAGACGGAACATATTTGAATCCACCTTAACACGTGCTACGATATACAATTAAAAAAGGTAAATTCTGCATGAGAAAAAATTAGAAACTACCAAAAAAATTGTGGAAAAAATGGTCATAAAAAAATATTCCATGTACGATACTCTCGTTTTGAAACTATTCAAATTATGTTTGAAACGTTTCTCATATTATTAATAATAAATAAGATAGTTAGGTGTTTGGTGAAACAGCCCGTATAAATATCATTAATACTGTTCTGAAAAATTGATTAAAAAATTGGTCTTGATACAAAGACGATGTGAAATTAAAATTACTATGTAAGCGTCAATTTAAACGTTGGCTGAGTTATTAATATCACGAATATGAAAGACCTGTAATATATTCAATTTTTTTCTTTGGGTGCCATTGGGTGTAGTGACATAATCGAACGATATTACGACATCCAATTATTAAAACGCAACGATGTATAATCTCGAATTATTTAAATTTATGCTAAATGTAACTGTTTTAAATTATTAGTCAAAAGTTACTTTGTTAGTTAAGAAACCGAAATACTACAGTACTCCACTTGGTTTTGTATTTCACTTCATTACAATAATTAAAATTTATTTAATACAGACCTTTATTTCGTTTCTATTATATTATCTTTATTTTATCTTTATTACATTCTACTAGTACTTTTTATTATATTTTGTTTATTTTCTTTTATTGGCATGTTCATTGTTGCTTTTGTTTGATTTCTTTACATGTAATACTGACGATGTTATCATTAGTATTATATGTTATCAAAATATTAATGAATTAATTGATACATGGTATATGTCGTATGTATTGATCAATAATAAAAGTTCACAACTATATCTAGTAAATTTAACGCTGGACCTGAATTAATAAAATAATTTGACAGGTAAGTAAATAATCATTCTAGAGAAATAAATGTTTAAATCTAAATTCTAGAGAAATAATTGTTTAAATGTAGCTTCGAAGGTTTTTTGATAAAACAATCGTTTGTTGTGTCGATATTTACGTAACGTACACCATTTTCGTGATCTACTTAAGAACAGATTTCAAAACGGTGGTCCACGCATTATCAGGGGATCACGCCATCAAAACTAATCATTCAAGGCCGCGTCAAGATTTTCCAGAATGCTATCGCGACACGCAATCCGCGGCGAAACGGAAGAAAAACAACCCGTAGAATCAAATTGTTCCTGATATGTTACACGAGCCTTCACAACAAATTTCATATTCTAATCTTATTCGACGAACGTCATATTTTAAATGTTCTTCGAACTGTTTCAATAATATCATAGATATTGATCTCATCAAAGATTAATCCAAATACACAGAATGTGATTTAAAACTTGATGAATGTTTAAAGTTACATACAGTCCCTTGAATAGAAAAGTTATGAACAATATGAAACCAAATTTAATAACAACAAAATGATGAAAATTTACCAAGGAGAAATGGTTTGGATGGAAAAATTGATGTTACAAGCAGGGACTTCTACCGAAACGTAAAATACCGGTATTATACCAATATTTTCGGTTGTACCTTTGCCCTATATAAATCCTACCCTTATAGAAATCGAAAAAAGTACCGTACTGAGCTAAAAGTGCTATCCAGGTGTTAAACTTGCCTTTTAAATCACCTAATATAAACTTCATTGAAAGTGTGTGAAGATATATGAAGTTAACGTTTAGAGAAAAAAATATATGGAATTTAAAGTCAAATTCGATCAATATGGCGATCTTTACCCAAAGAATATGCTTAGAAGATGCCAGGCAATTATGAATAAAACGGAGATTAAACAACATATTGATATGAAAGCATCGTAGAGCTTCAAAGTACTCAAGTTCACGGGAATTTTTATAATAGCTGCATTCACGACAAAATTTTGCCGGTCACGCTCTTAATAGATAGACTGTAATCATAATTAAAAACGGTTGATAGAATAAGGTAATTAATTATAATATTCTGAATGGTCAGGAGTGAAACATTTAATACAGAGTCCAACTCTACAGCTTGAACATACAGTTTTTCCACCGTATTTCCATCTTGACTTCGGAACATCTGATACCTACATATTTTTCTTTATAAATTCTACTTACATATAAAGATAAATTATTGAATTTGGGAGTATATATGGCTTCAGCGTAATCAAATAATTCCCCAATGAAAATCACTCTATATTCTGATATTTGTTTATTACTATCGAGTAAACGTGTAAAATCTATAGGGTGTCTGTTATGAAACGATTCCATATTATAACAAGTTAAGTGCCATTTGTATCCAAATGAATACAATACATTCCAACTTAATGGGGCCCCTATTAGTTTGGATACTGTGTCCTTCATTCAGATTCGGCTTGTCCTTTTTACACATTGGCCAAAAGCAACATAATTTTATTTTACATGATTGCACTTAACGTGTCAAAAAGAAAGAAACGAATTTCTTGGCGAAATGCGTTTCGAGCGTTTGACGCAAATTTCCATCGCGACGACGATGTTTCGTGTTTCACGGTGTCGCTCGTGAATATTCAAGGATGTTTGAACAAGTCACGAAGGTGAACTGCGATTCTGTGCACGGTAGAAAAATTTTTCACGACTGCTCGCGACACGAACAGCTTTGACACGAGCCGCGCGCGCGAGCACGTCTCTGGACCTTGTCCGATAACTTCAAAGTCCACTGTCGTCCAGTTAATCGCGCGCTCGAAACACCGATGGCGTATCACGTAACACCGATCGAGAAGACGAAATATGTACTTTAGAAATATTAAGTGTACTAATAAGTAATTCACATTTTTTTTTGGTAGATTATACTTGTTTTGGAAGAACTCAAATATTCACACTGGATTGATATTTTGGTGGAGTTTGCATTTTTTTCGAAAGAACTCAAATAGTCACGCTACATTAATAGTATTTGGTGTTTCTTTTGATCAACCTGTTCTATTTTTTGGTAAATTCTGTACTTGTTTCGAAAGAGACTCAAATACTCACGTTACATTAATATTTTGGTAGATTCTTTACTTGGATCGAAAAAACTCAAATACTCACGTTACATTAATAATATTTGTTATTTCTTTCCATCATTCAGTATTCTGAATTTAAAGTTGACCACAACCTTATTGTAAACACGACGTATTTACTTATTAGTACACCTAATAACAATAGCAGAATAAATTTTTATTAAGGAATTATTAATGAAGTTTCGAGTGAATTTACCGACATTAAACACTGTGCACCGTTCGAGTGAATTCGATCAAAATCAACCTTTGACACTTATAGGTAACTAACATTGTCATCTAACAATGGGTGATTTAACTTATTATTACAGTTGAATAATTTTTTAAAGAATGCACTTTGTTATTTATGAGACGCTATCTGTTTTGCAAATAAAATTGCTTGAAAATTGTATCAAATAATTGAAACAGACAATGGATCGGAATACATGTAAGTATACATATATATTGACTTTTCTAAACGAAAAATAACTAAAAATTAATTTCCCCACAGAAATTTTATTACATTAATAATACAACCAGTAATTGACCAACCGTTAGGTACTGAATTATTCGTTTCAGTTGTTGCATGCTCAAACATTTTGTAAACACAAATAATCCGCAGTCTAAGAATAGCTCAAATAAAGCTAAAAATACGTACTGCATCTAAAAATAATAAATCACAGCCATAATTCTCATCCAATTTTCGGAGCCTTCGACAGTAGTCTCGTGAAACCGGTTCGTTAATGTACAGTGTCCCATTAAACAGAATGACGAAACTTTCCGACAAATGGGAATTTTGTTTATATCCACCATCTCCCTTCCTCACATTTCGATTTAATTAACGACAATGTTTCACTTCATATTTCAAACGGTCATATGTAAAAAGGAAGTAGATAAACAGCAACCATTTTCTTTTACCTTTTATTTGGTATTCCAAATTTTGTTTACTTTCGACAACCAACGACTCTTTTAACTCTTTTTTACGACTCTTTTTAACTCGATTAGCGACTTCATTTTGTCACCCCTACTATGGTTCTCCATTCCTCTTCAATCTAATTGTGCTCTTTTTTAAAATCTTCTCTACACTTGAGAAAAACATAAAAGGTTTTTTTCTACAAGGTATATTTTTTATTTCTCAAATCTCTGGACTCGATAAGCTAATGTAATACAATTTAAAAATAATATACAGCTTGTTCAATATTTCGCTGAACCGAGGGCGATTGGGAGAATTAATCGTTTGACGCAGGATTAATTCATATCAATCAAATTCCAAAACGGTACCAAATTACTATCATCCATATGAACGTAATTAACACCATTCATTCCATATGAACCAAAACTAATCGATGATTTTCCACATGCCAGAAAACAACTCAAATAATTTCACATTTTACGAAACGCCGAAAAATCGGTGTTTCACAGTCAGCCTTACCGTACATGAAATCCGTTAAAATTTCCTTCCTTAATGAACTATTTCATCATTTTATACCAACATAGAATTAAAATTCACGAAAAATTCGGAACTTTCAGCACGATCGGTAAATTCGTAAAACGCACTTCACACGGTTCCCTCATGTAAAAGCACTTATAAACCAAGTTTTTCGAACCGAACATCGCCTCCTGTGATCGAATTCGAACGACACAGGGATCGAGAGGATAAAAAAAAAATGTGGAAAAAATCACCTGAGCCGTTTGCGGCGTTCGACCATCCCCGGTATGATAGTCTGCTGCACCTGGTAAGGGCCGGGATCTGTCCCCTCAGACGGGAAGATATCCTCGATCTCCAATTCCTCGGATGGATCGGCGTCGGGTTCGCCGACCATGAAGCTTACTGGTTTTTCCGACATGGTACCGGCGGGGGAATCGAGAAAATCGTCCTCTCCCGATCCTCGTTGGCCGGCTACACTGTCTACGCGGTTGGTGTTACCTTCAAAAGAGCCGACAGATACGTGTACGTGTCAAGATCAACTGGTCTCCGACACCAGGTGCCCCGTGTGTATCTTGCGCGCAACATTTTGTCCCCGGAATTTGCATAATATTTACAAGTATGTACCGCTACCCGCGTTCTTCCAATAATATCATTCCGTTTCGTGTGATTCGAATGGACATTTGTGTGTGTGTGTGTGTGTGTTTGTGACCCCTCTCTATCTACCGATACGGTCACACTTCTGTTGTGTGTGCTGGGGACAAGGACCACTCGCGTGGATCGGTTTCTTTCCGCGTGTACAGTGTGTTTTCGAAGTTAGACGAATCTTTTGGACAGTGTTCACTTTTTATTGTTACGGGGGAAACGGCTGAGCATGAGACCTTGTGGTGATTTCTACGGTGTTTGAAATTATTAGAGGGTTACACACGATTAATTTATAAGGATATTACGATGCCCTGATTTCTTCTATCATCTACAGATAAATCTAGGTTAAACTCGTTCTTTTAGAAACTGGACTTATACCACTTTAACTCTTAACTGATGAGGAGGAAATCTTATGTACTTATTACACGAATCTTATTACTAGACTGCGGATGTTTATGCATGTATAGCAGCTCCTGACTTGCAAAATGTAGCAATATGGAGATTCTAAGGTAATTTAATAGTATTCGCGTGTTATTATTCAGGTATTAAAACCGTTAGTACAGGAATTAATATTCTGTCCGATTTTGTTTTTTATATATTAGTGAACGGAATTGTGAAGTTGCATAAACAACCGCAATCAACTTATTACACAACTTTTTTTGTTGCTTGTAAGAAAACATCGAAATAAACAAGCATCTTTTTAACTTATTCAAAAATTATTCATGGAGTTCTTCACATCTCACCCGTTAAGGGTTAAAAGGAAATTGTAGCTCATTTATTGTAGCCGCTGCGTACAATTTTTGAGAAATTTTTTGTAAAAGCAACAGTAAAGCGAGTTGTGGCTAGTCAAGGTAACTGAGACATTACTTCTGCCTACACACATAGGAAAAATGTTGTATACGTTAAACGACTATTTAGTTTTGTGTAAATAGTAATTAATCGGTCATTTTTCAAACAGAGTTGGGGTAACGGTCCCTTTTCTCATGGTATCTTTTAGAGTAATAGCAATATCCGATAGGATAAATACTGAGGCTCAACTCAGAGGGATGAAGGGTTGAATGCTGTTAAATAGACACTGCAAAAATCTCATATATAATTTGTTTCGTTCTTTTCACTAAATTAATGCAACAGTACCGTCTGCAGTAACGATCCTCTAATACTCTAATACCTTTGTCCAGTGTACAGTGTTCATTTTTTCTACTTGCAAAAAATGTTCACGATAACACCAAATGTCATTTCCAATTTGTCAACTAATCTCCATCGATATTGCTATCATCAATCTATCAGTTTATACAAAATCATTTTAGAAAATACCATATTGACGTTCGATATACATATACTTATGAACACTGCCATAGGTGGAACTGATGAATAATGGACATCAATAATTAAGATTGATTCATTAAAAATTCAGGAATTATACTTTGTATTTTAAGTTTACATTTTCATGTAAAATGACCGTTTGTTGAATTTTTATTATCAATTCGGGAACACTCTCAGAAACAACTCCTTAGTCCAATATGTCGTGTAAAAGGTAACATGGTCCCTTGCAATTATAGTATGTTCCAAGAGAAGAATAAGGATATTATATAAGACGAACTATAATTTAAGGTACAGTTAAAAAAGAACTATTCGAACAAGCAAAAATAAACGAAAAAATTGAAATGCAATTTTTCGTACAAGCTTTCGTTTTCAGGAGCATTCATTTTAAAAATTCATAATATTTTACTATAGCGATGTCAGGTCTATGTATTAAAATTTCTCTTATTCACACTCACAGAACATACTGGCGTGGTTTAATTGTCTAACTTCGAAACATACTGCATTCTGAAATAAATATTAATTCAAAGCTCATTATCTGCAACCAAGCACTCGAGGTCCAACGACTTTCACACTTCTTATCACCTTACTGACCGGTAGCCTATTAACAGACTTTCTGATTTCAGTATTTATCGATAAGTAGCTCATTAATTTACTTTTAAATCGGAGTTGAAGAAAAAAATTATTACATTATATCATTAGGACTGTACTGTCTTTCGTTTTAATTGTAATTTGCCACTGCGAACAAACAGTTTATTAACCGTTTCAGACTCGAGTCAACGATCTATCGATTTTTTCATACAATTGTAAAGATGTCAATATTTTCGTTATGAAAATCCTCCAAGCTTTTTCGTAAGTGCTCCCTAAAAATCGCTGATCCTGAAAGGGTTAATAAACTGTTTGATCGTTAAGTCCAAGAAAGCTGCGAAACAGCCGCCAGGTAGATGACGTGCTAAGTCGTGAATTTTAATGATAGTCGATTTTTTCGTGCTCGACACAGGAAGCAGCATCGATTTTTAAAACGTACGCGAAAACTTTCGACGAGTGGCCCTCTAGTTCCGGCGCCTAACGATCCCCGTTTGCGGGCGAAAACTTCCAAATGATGTGGTTCATGCCAAAACAAAGCCGCATGCAATCCAAGCGATTATGAGACCAAAGGGGACGCTCGTTAGAATTTCTCGAATCCCAGGATCGCGATTGAAATGTTCGTTTGCAACAATCGAAAAGCAGACGAAAAAGATGTTTTCGAGTCGAAAGAAACTGACGCGTGGGAAGGGTACATGCGGATGGATCGTTGTGCGTGAATATGGTCGCCGCCATAGAGAAGCGGTTTTTCGACGATGAAGAATGGTAGGGGTCTGTTAGGACACGTTGTTGGTCGTTAATATGCAAATTTATTTACGTGAACGCGAGTGATTTAACAGTCTATGTATGTGAATTTCTTAATGTCATCGATTGCGTAATAGCCTTTCAAGGTAATGGTAGCGGGGATATATCATTCTCTATTATTTACGAGATGGGTCCATCTACCCGAGAAACTGATAATATCATTCTCCATGTACTGGACTGAGTCGTAAAGAAATTCTATCGTAAATAAATAATATGATAATTGAGGATTAACGCAGGAAGACCTAAGTTTGTGGCTTAATCGTGGATTAGTAAAGGGAGAATAAGACAAAGTTTGTTTGTTTCAGAATACATATAACATTCCTGTACTTCAGTCATATTATGTAAGTAATAACTAATAATAGTTATTTTACTGCTGTACGTTGTTCTTTATTATTTTTATTCGGACGATGTATGTGTTTTGTAGAGAAAACAATGAAAATCGTATTTAAGTTGATAAAAACTTTGACTTTATTTTCTTCTTTTTAAATCCTAGGTACGATTGATGCTTAAACAGATGGCAATATCTGTGACAGTTAAGAAAGTCTGGAAGGGCTAATAAACACTGGTCGTTCATTTATGAATTAATTTAAAATACGACACGCGGTTTCTTAAAAAAAAGTATGTGTTTTCTATGCTTACGGTGAAAGTTACTTAGGACTCAAACGCAATAGGTCTCACAAGAAGAGAATAATTTCAACAGAATAGTCAGTTGAACTGAAACTGAATTCAGGATGCTAATTCAATTTCGTTATCTATTCTATTTAGTAGTATAATGAGCTGCGTCGTATTCTGTTTAAATTTACACCCGTCAAACAAAAAATATTCATTTGCTGTCTTCAACAAATGAAGATAACAAGGAATTGTAACAAACCGTTTGTTTATAAGACAACATTTTGCCGAGAATAGTTTTCCATTCTATAAGAATCGATTTGTCAAAAGTTCAGAGTACCTGTATTCACTTAACTTTACAGAAATTAATTATAAATTCAATTCAAATTAAAATATTAATTGTGTCGAAATAAATTTAACAATGTATTTTATTTTCATGTTTGTTTTTTCTTTGATTATGAATAATTAGAATGAATACGTCCTAAAATGTATCTTGGTTTCAGTGTCAGTTTTGAAGAAATGGAAAGCAAAGGAAGCGAGAATGAGTTAGTGTAAAAATGATTTTCCATTTTCAGGCGTAAAATATTGAAACGTTTTGTATAAATTCGTTACGAGACGCCACGTTTCCAAATTTCAACGACCCGAACATTACCATGACAATATGACCATTACACAACGCGCTGGCTGCTTTTCCAGTCAATCCCATATCATAGTAATGATAATTTGCATAAATCGACTTTGATACGCTCGAATTTTATTATCGTACCTCGATACAGTCTTGGTTACACTTTATTATTTTGTATATGACAGAATATGATGGCATTAAAGTGTAAAATCGGCCCCAGATGATACTGTTACGTAAAACAAATAACACTACAAAAATTAAGAAGAGGATTTATATTAAAAGAATACGTATATAATACTTCACTTTTATTGTACCTTCAAAGAATACGATTTTTCTGAATCTATAACAGACGTGAATATATAAAGTAAAATAAAGTGAACATCACGATAAAATTTCATATAACTTCCAAGTTATCCCAAGTTAAATAAAACCCTTAGCACAGAAAGTAAATTTCTCTTTCATGTCCACTCTTGAGACCTTTCGCCCGAGATAATAAATTTTACACAATCAACCTAACCACAACTTCCTATCAACTGAAAATTAACCATGCACAACAAAATTGATCTATTCCCTATCAGAACACCCCGTATAACAACACTTTACCCACTTCGAAATTTCGCCAATTTCGGGGCCGATTTCGTCCTTTAACGCCTTTCCGTACCAACAATTCCACACAAACGATTCAATAACAAGGTTTAGTCACTCCAGTTTAGTGTCCACATTCCCGCTCCTCCAGTATTCCCGACAAAAGCCAAACACAATGGGTGTTGCGGTAGGAACGCCGAGTAGCACAAAGAAACCCAAGGGGAAGAGAAACAAAAAAAAAAAGACACACCAAGATCGCTGATACACCAAGTCGATCTCAACAAAGGATTAATCAACTCGACACCCACGCTGGTGTCACATCAACAGCGGAGAGCCCAAAGAAGCGACTAGGCCCAGCAAGATCATCCCAATTTCAAGAAGCCTCGAATTTACTCACCCTCGATCCTTCTACGACCGCGCGCCACCAAGCGAACCGTTCGCGCGAGTACAGCCCGCCACCCTTCCTGGTTCCACTCCAACAAAATCTGTCCAAGACGAGCGTGTCCGCGCGCTAGTACAGCGATTGAGAAACCGAGGATGACGACGAGCAATAGGACTATCGAAAACACCTCGGCAGTCAGTTTGACGATTGTGATCGTGACCTTGAAAGAATATTTCGACCGATCAAACGTCCCTCCAGGTTCGTGAACTCTTGACCTCCGAGTATAAAACGGCCCACAGACGATACGATTTATCAAACGATTTCAAGTTATACGACAAACTGCAAAGACAGATCAATCGATTTTTAGGATCCCGTACTGAGACGTACAATTGCACCACAAACGATGCAACTGTTTTTTAAATGATCGAAGCAACTTATGTTGTAGAATTAGTTAAAAAGACAGATCAACAGATTTTTAGCAATATGTACACTACCACACAACGATTCTTCAGAAGGTCGATTCTTGTGGGTAACACGTCACTTGCATGTATTACAAATACACTAACGGCCAAAGGTATGGGACCAGGTGTGATAATTAAAGAAAGAGAAAATCATATTCTACATAGAGTTAATAAAGGTAACGTGTTAAAACCAGAGATGGGCAAACTCATTATATAGATAAATAGTTTCAAATAACAAATAAAAGAGATAGAAAAGTTCTTCACCAATTTCAATTAATTAAATGGGGAAATTATAATTTTTATAATAAAATGACACTTCTTGAATGAGTGGACACTTGGCAAACCGTTACTTAATTTCATTAACTTTAACACTAGAACTCCCAGTATTAAATGTATGCTAAGTTAAATTGTGTAATTTATTAATGTGTATAATATACATATAATACAATATAGCTTAGTGGAGTATGATATAAAGTGTATTTGAAATTAAAGGTCAGCATAAACTCCGATAAAGGTATCTTTAGGATTTCGGTAATTGCAAAATAAAAAATCTGAAATCCGTTATTTTGACGGATTCGGCAGTTCTAGAATTAAAGGTCACGATGACGCTCTTAGATACTGCTGCTTTTCACTATGTATTATTCGAATGAAATTGTGCCCAACTCTGGTTAAATCTGATGGGAAGTGACTTATACATTGACTGACTACGTAACTTTTACTTTATCGTAGAAGAATAATGAATTACACTAAATCCTCGCCGAGTGTTCGAGGGCTCCTCAGCACTGAACATTAAATATTTCATAAACAAATGGCCGTGTGCGACTGAAACAAATATTATTGGCCCAAAAATTCCAAGCTCTATCACTGTGCTAAAACTCATTAAAAAGTCACCATTACACCCAGAGACCTCCCTCTCCTTGTCAATGCCGAGGAGCCTTCGAACACTCATCGAGGATTTACTGTACTGTACCATCAATCTCATGAACTCTGGTCCCACACATTTGGCCGTTAGTGTATGTGTTGTACATGACAGTGACATGTGTTATCCAAAAGAATCGACCCTCGATTCCAATTCGATTCTCCAGAAGTAAAGCCTCAAGAAAAAGCCCAAAGAATCAAAAACACCCTACCACAAACGTTGCAACTGTCCTTCAAACGGTCGAAGCAACGTACGTTGAACAATTAGTTATACGATAAAGTGATATCGTCTGTGGGCCGTTAAACGTTCGATATTCACACACCGAAGAAGCAACACTTCCACCCTTCCCGCGATCCCGCGTGTATGTACAATGTGGACGACGACCGCGTGGTCTCTACGATAAACGTAACTGAACTCGGAAGCGTATCCGAGTTCGTGTACAATCATCGACACCGAATGGAATATTACACGAGTCTTGATACGCGTGTACACTGAACCGACCGCCGAAAACACGATCCGTCGAGATAACGCTGATCATCGGGAGCACCGTTAACACAATCCCGATAGGGAATGACACGACGAAAGATCGGCCAGAGAAGTCGCCTAATCAGCCGAAGTTGAACGGACACGCGTGAAAGAAAATACGACGACGCTTCAAGGGAGAACGCATAATATCACATCGATCGAAATACAGTAAATCCTCGATGAGTGTTCGAAGGTTCCTCAGCACTGACAAGGACAGCTCCCTAAGTGTAACGCTGACTTTTAATTGGGTTTGGAACATCGATAGAACTTGGAATTCCGAAGACAATGATATTTGTTTCTTCAATATATGATCATTAATGTTTAGTGCCGAGGAGCCTTCGAACACTCATGGAGGATTTTCTGTATGTACTCTCGTCATCACGATAGTTAACTGGGGTTTTGTCGAACGATTAGGAAATTAGTAATGTACCGAGGAAAGTGTCCAGAAGACCCCGAAGCATACCAGATACAGTTCCGTTCCCTCGGACTCTGCCGATCCCACCAGAAGCTTTCTACCTCCTCCTCCTCTTCGTCAGATCGCCTGTTTTTGCCTAGCCTGGGGGCTCTGAAATTGTCACACAGGGAGAGAGAAAAGACGACGAAGAAAAATAACGATTTTCCTATCCACGCTCGATGTCACACTTTAGGGGGTGGGTCAGGTGGCGCGCTGAGGATCTCCCCCTTATTCAAAGACACTCTATATTTCTCGTTTGCGATCCTTTTTGGCGGTGATCTTGCTGCGTGGTTCGCGATCTCTGGTCGTTTCAGACCCCAGATCGACCGGTCCTCAGCATCGCCGCGGTTACTAAGAAGACGACTCGACACACGCACACCGCCTCTGGCCACACGAGGAGCACGAAAGGAGATACGACGACGCACTAACCGGCCAGTATAGACGTTCACGCGATATCGCGCGGACTTCGTGCACGCGCTACGGCGGAGGAGAGGAAATCGGGCCGCCTTGACATCGAGGAGAGACACCGGCGACGGCGGTGTCCGCTCCGCGAAACGATACGGGGAAAAAGGAGACCGGACGACAGGGTTCAGGGGTCGTCGGACCATCGACGTGACGAACGAACGAACGTCAATGAACACGTTTGGGCCTAACACGCGCGCACACGCCTGGTCGATTGTTCTCGCGATTGTTCCCGCGGCCACCACGGATGTGTTAACGATAAATCGACGACGACGGATCACGGCGGACCAACGGTATGGATCACAACGGACGACGGAAAGAACCCACCTTTCACGGCGAGTGTTTCACTATACGAGACGGAGACGCAATACTGTCCAGTTCGGTTTAGTGGTTTTTCCTCTTTCGGCCGCGACGATACTTAGCGCTGTTTATTTTGTATTCCTGTCTCACTGTCTCCTGCGGTCTACGCAATCGGTGGACCCCGTTGTTTGAGTGAGAGGGAAGGCTTCTTTTCTTCGTTTTTCTGGAGGAATTTGGGAAACTTTGTTATATGTATTTCGTGAAGTCGATTCCGGATACTTGCTGCTGGTTTCTTTTTCTTGTAAGGCGGAAGGAATGACGTATGCATTGCGGAATGGGAGGTGGTCCGTGAATGTATCGTTGACCAATTGTATTTTTCGGTAGAAATAAATTACGTGCTATTTTTTTATTTTGTAACGTAGATGTTGTTGGTTCTGAAGCGGATTATATTTTGGAATATATCGGGTTGATGGGAAAGTAATATCGGTTTCTATGGTTGGGTCGGTGGTGATCGTTTTCAGTTTGTTGGGATTACTTGAGAGTATAGCAGAGGGTTGATGTCCCAAGTATACTGCCACCTTAAGATTGTAGCGTAATTTTATTTAATCATTTTACCTATTGTTTAACTATCACCTCAAAAATTAATATAGGTTGAATAGTAAAATTACGGTTTTTTTTAATATTATTTCGCCATCACTTCCTACTCTCGTGGTCGCGTTTTTGATGTTCACATGATATGTACTTTCATTTTTCAGTATTAATTTTTATATACTAGATACGTACAAGTACATGTATTTCCTTGTTGTTATGTAAATCAGAATCGATTTAATAATAAAATTTGTTGTACACAATTCTTTAGACATTACGTTTTTGATAAGTAAAACAAAAATAAAGTGGCAGTACTAGGGAGTAATTGGGACATTTACCCTAGTGTATCTTGAAGTCTGATCTGATTTTTCAATATTGTTATGTATAAATTTTTAACTGGAATTTCCTTTACATCATCGTTATCGATCGACAACATTGATCATTCGGATGCGAATGTTTACCATGAAAATTTGCAATACCTGTAGTCACTATGTTTGTTGTAAAAATATTACAGACGATTTTGGTGCAAGCAACTGTATTTATACATTTTTTATCGTTACATAATAGACTTTATCGTACCAAAGGTCTAATCATTAAAACAGATCAATCTGATGAAGGTGTAATCTTTTATAGACACGCACCTCTTCACTGTCAAAATTGATTGATTGTATATAATTGCAAACTGGTTATTTGTAGCAAAAAACGACATTACTTTCCTATCTATCTAATGGGTACTTTTCAGGTGTTATTACTTTAAACAAAATTTTGGGCAATTTTTTAATTCTTGGATATTACATCTCCCTCAATTGAATTGTCTTCGAATGTATTTTATTCTCGATCTAGCATTGTTTTTCTCCCTTGACTCGTTCTGGTTCTAATTATGACTTTAATACTTTATTATAATGTACTCGCAAAATGGTAATTTCTTAGGTAACTTTTCGTTTTCCGATTGTTTGTATGTTTCGACTGAATTGATTATTTTCGAATCTATCGCATTTCTTGTGTAATAGGTAATGTTTTTCCTCCTCGATATATTCGTTTCACCTTCGAGTCGATGATATTTCGAAACTTTTTACCTCTGGTTTATTTATTGTACTTTTGTTACGTGACACATTGCGCAACCTTTCATATTTCTACGATGTTTTCTTTGATGTTTATTACCCAGGAAACTAAAGATTCGAGACTGTTCTATTTATTTCCATCGATTCACTTTTAATTCCCTTATTCAAACTTCATTTCTTTTGGTACCATTACGATTAATCATAATTTCTCGTACAATACACACATCGTTATCATAGTCTCTCAGACATAACAGATAAAATGTTCATTCTTTTTAACATTCCTTCAACCTTATAAGTATTTCTTTCTCTTTTCGTTAAAAAATTGTAATTCCTCACGTTACACAGCTTTTTCAGACTATAAAACACTGATTTTCAGACTCTCTTGCAGT